AGCTTCATTTTCTCTAGTTTCTCTATTTATTATCCTCCAAGCCACACTCCAACTTTTTTATTTCTTTTCACCAAGGCTTAAGTTTTTAACACTCATAGCCTGAATCAGAGGGTATCTCTCAGAACAATACTTAGCTGCTTCTTCCTCTAACTTTTCAACCTTATCAGGAGCTAAGTCATCATCAAAGTCTTCTTCTAACAAGAAATTGTTATCATCAGGTGGGACATATAACTCTTCTGGAGGAGCTAATGTTTTAATCTCTTTTTGTCTTGAAGTCTCCCATTTTTCTTTACTCTTTCTTTCTAGTCCTAAAAGTTTCATTTTCTCTGTTCCATGCCACATATACAGACTATCTCTAATTAAATTCCATAAAAAAGACATGAGGCTACTGCCTTGTTCCATTTTTACTATCGAATTTTACTTACCATGCCCTTTTCTCTTTACTTTATGATCCAAGCTCTCCAACATCCATGGTGTCCTTCACTGCTTCCCCGTATCTCAGGTTCCCTGTTTGGGCACCAAACTACCAGAGCCTGCTGGCAGAGTCAAACAGTTCCCGAATGGGGAGTGAGGATTGAAAGAAAAAACACCAACACACTGCACATGGGATCTTTTCGAGAGCACTGCTGGTAGAAACTGTCACATTGTTTTGTTTTGTTTTGTTTTTTTCACAATCCCTTTTTATAGTCAGAGCAAAGCACCTCAATACAATGAAGGGGTTCAAACTTATATATCTTGACCACTTGTCTGTGTGATCCTTACTCAAAGAAAATGAAATGAAGTTGGCAAAACGTCCTGCCTATCTCTGTCTCCAGATGAAGACCAGGGTGAAAACAAGCAGCTCTCCACAGGTAAGATAAAGGTAGTTTCACTTAGGGGTGGTTTGTTATACAAGAGATAACTAGAGCATGTGGCAACCTTAGCCATCAGGAGACATAAGATCTCTCAGGGATAGTGTGAAGAAGGAAAGAACACCACAGGGAACCACAGATATAAAAGGAAAGGAAATTTGACCAGATTTTAAAAACACACACACGGAATGGTGGTTCTCTGGAGAGTGTGATGACATGGAACCAGAGTAAGTTTCAAGGACAAAGTAGTTGTGAATGGTGTGAAATGCTACTTACAGGTCAAGTAAGATAAGTGGGAAAATCCTCTATGTCTTTGGAAGGAGAGCAGTGGTGACTCAGCAAGAACAGTTTCAGTTTGAGTAGATACCAAAATTCTTTGAGAAGATAGCAGAGAGTAGAAACAAAGTGGGGACTGACCTTAGACCAAAGTGAAACCTTTCTCCTTGAATAAAAGCAGAAGAGTGGTACCTGATTATTGCAGGTCTCTATTTGATAAGAAGTCTAAGAGGTTCCTTTCTGACAATTTATTTTTCTGTCCTGGGCTAAGATTTCAGAGGACAAAACAGAAGGAAGTGTGTTTTATCCCTACTCTGTTATCAATATCCTTCTAATCTTATCAGCTTCACAAGCAGCTTTTCTCATGCATGGATTGCAGCTAACAAAAACTTACTTTCATACATGAGACCTGTAGCTCAATGCAAGGTTATGAGGGTGAATGCAAAGATCTGGACAGACCATTGTTCCACCTATAAGTATGCCCCTTGTAACCCTAGCTTTCTCTCCTCATAGACTTTTTTATTTTATTTAATAAATTTACTAAGTAATATTTAATAAATTTTATTTAAGAAAAATTTATTTGAAGCTCCCAAGTCATCTAATTATGTTACAGAAATTTAAAAAATGAAACAAACAAACAAAAAAAAAACCCAAAAACGTGTTGTGCTTCTAGAATGAGCTAGTATGACACAACAGCAGAGTCAGGATGGGGCCCAGGATTTGGTGATGCTTGCAGGTAGAGCATGCCGTCAAAGCAACTACTAGAAAGAATACTATACTGACATGGATATATCATAAACTTTTTATTTTATTTTTTATTGACTTTACATCTTTGTTGAAGGCCCATCCCTCCTCCTTTCCCAATGCTTCCCTCCCCTTTTCCTCAGAAAAGGAGAGCTCATTTTCCCATCCACCACAGCTCATCAGGTTGCAACAGGACTGAAAGTGCCCTCTTCCCCTGTGGCCTGGCAAGGCAGACCCGCCAGGGTAAAATGATCAAAAATCTGGCAAGTGAGACTATGTCCAATACAGTCCCTACTTCCCTTACTAGAGGAACCATATGAAGCCCAATCTGTCCATCTGCTACATTTTGTAGGGGGTCTATATCCAGTACATGCATGGTCCTTGGTTGATGCTTCAGTCTCAGCAAACCCCCATGTCTCAACTGATTTTTTAAAATGTAGCCTTGGCTGTTCTGGAACTGGATCTGTAGGCCGGACTGGCTCCAGACTCACAGAGATCTGCCTGCCTCTGTCTCTGGAGCACTGGGACTAAAGGTGTCCATGACCAAGCCTGAGTTTACTAACAGGAAAACTATGAGCTATGAGTCAACCTAGAGGAGGATCTGGCCCAATAAGTAGAAGTAAAGGGAATTACTCTCGGCTGAAATCAAAGTACCCATTCTTCTTAGTGCTTTGTCAATGATATAAAATTATTGGATCTAAAGGAGAAGAAAAGTAGATGAGGTCCATGTTATCCCTACGATTTGCTGTATGATAGACCTGGAGGTCATTGTCTTAAGTGTAATAATCCAGTCACAGAAAGATAAGTGAAGTGTGGTCTTATCCAGATGTGAATAGAAAGTAAAAGAATAAATTTGTGATGATTAATGTTAACTGTCAATATGACAGACTCTAGTATCATTTAGGAGATGACCTTTGGGCATGGCTATGGGAGATTACCTGAGTTAACTTAATTAATTGGGAAGGCCTGCCCAATGTGGGATCATTCCATGGCTGGGATTCTGAGTATTTAAAAGAAGAAAGTGAGGTGAGCAGTATGAATTCATGAATGCATACATTGCTCTTATTCCTGATTATGGATATGATTCAAGCTCTTGCTGCCTTGATTTTCCTGTCATGATGTACATTGAACCATGAACTGAAGTAAACCCTTCCTTACGTTGCTTTTGTCAGAGCATTATCATTGCATGCCAAAAGAAACTAAGGCAAAAACATAGCCCAAATATAAACAAAGCCCCAACCCCAAATGTAGGTTTGACTTTGATAGTCATTTCACTATGTGGATTTGCCACAACATCATGTTATACTTTAAACATATACACACAATTTAAAGGACAACATAAGGCAGAAAGCCCAGAAAACAGTTTTATCAACAAGTGAAGGCACCTTTAACTCACTGTAATATATAGTCACACGATTAATGTGCTGGGTGAAAGAAAGTTGTGTAACAAGAGTCATTGAAGCTGGAGAGATCCGTGTCTCAAATTTTGGGATCCTATTGAGAGAACTTTCCAACAGTGTATCTTCCTGTAGCCTTCCTATTATTTTCATTTACTGCTGGATCTTTTGCAATGAATCTGGGTTTTAGCATGTCTCAAGCCCAGCCTTCCCAAGCCACTGAAGGAGTCAGTAGGAGTGCCTGAGGTTTCAGAAAGGTCTGTTATTCAATTATATAATCCTACCTGCCCACAGGTCTTTAGGAAGAAGAACTAATGTATTATTAATGAGACCTCCATGTTTAAAAGTACACAGGAACAAATAATGATTTAATTAGGAAAAAGCTATTTAAATTGCGTTAAAACTGCACATTTATTAGGACTGGAATGTACTCAGAGTTGCTTTAAAAGGCTGCACATTATATTTATTTGTTTCCTCTGGCATCTACTGATCATGGAGAAAGCATTTACTTTCTCCAACCATACCATTAAGAAACCCCCTTCATGTTGTTCCAAACTAGATTAGCATTTGCTCATTCAGTAAACATTTATTGTGCACCTACGAGGAGGTACTTATACCTTAGTATAGTCAATGCTCTAGGGGATCTCCTACCCCTCTATTTTTCTTTTTCTCTTATTCTCTTCCTCCCTTTATCTTTTTTTCCATTTTCTATTACTCTTCCCTCTCCTCTCCTCTCTCTCTCTCTCTCTCTCTCTCTCTCTCTCTCTCTCTCTCACACACACACACACACACACACACAGGGATTTTTGTACCAAAAAATATTCAAACCTGGATTTACTGGTCCCAGCAACCAGAAGTGTTTATGGCAAAAGCTGGTGATTTTCCCCTAAGACTAAGCAAATAGTTTTCAGAGGCAAAGCAATTTTAGGATGGTCTTAAGGAAACAAGACTTAAATATTGTGTGGGGTAATTTTATAAGCAGAGTTGTTTCTGGCATTTTGCCATATCACTTTGTGGTATGATTGAACTGCATGTACCTGGACCAAGGGATTAGTTTAGAAGTAGCATCTCTCACATGACCATAGGGCTGGAATGAGTATCAATGGTTGTCAGACTGCCCAAGTCCACCTTTCATTTTGGAGAATAAGGGGTGTGTGTGTGTGTGTGTGTGTGTGTGTGTGTGTGTGTGTGTTTGCATGTGAGTGTGTGCCACGCATGCAACACTCTCCCAAGGAGATTTTTTCCCCATTATCATGGACCAGGTAAATTTTCAAATATATCTCTTGAAATTACTATTTAGATATTTCACACCACTACAAGATTCAAATGTGGCATGCATTTCCTAACAAGGGTTAATCAATCAGATGTTTGTTATCACTATACCTGAACTATTGCCGAATGGAAACAATACTCACTGGAAGAGGAGTGTCTAGAACTGCAAGGAAAATACTGTTCTCTTCTTCTTAGGACTTGGTGAATTTAGCAGAAAAGCAATGTAGGTGTTTCCCTCTCTCTCATGTTCGGTAAGGATGCCCTTGATTCATTCAAAGCTACATTTTCAGACAGGATCCATTTTGGATCACTGTAACAAATCTCATGCTGTGGAAACAACCTTTTCCAGTATATTCTAATGCTGTTAAGAAGTGGAAAGTTGAGGTGGAAAATAGGTGTCAAAGTGAAGTATATAGTACTGTCTGTAAAAATAATAGCAACCAATGAAGGTATTCCAGCATAAGTACAATTCATAGAGTTTAATAAACAGCCGCTAAACATTACACCAAAGCATTTGGAAACACAATTTCTACAGAGAGGCAAAGGTCAGGCTTCCATTCTAAATTCCTTAAGACAATCATTAACAGCCCCCCATCCCACCCACCCCCCATCCACACACATCCACAAGACTACACTCTTCTAGTCATAAGTTTACCTACAGACACAGTCTTAAGAATAATGGGACTGGCATGCATTATCCCAACAATGGCAAGGAAGCAGGGGATAAGGAAAAGATGAATGAAAAGGCAACCAGCATTTAATGATACACCCCTTAGGAGCTTTGTTCAGTGAATGAATGGGTAGGGAGACTCTGCTTGTAGTGCTACTTGTGGCTTTACCTTGGACCTTTTGGATACTCTAGACTAGTTGAGCTGTTCAGATCCAAAGAGGCTGGGGCAGTTGTATTGAACAGTCTCATTCTTTTGCGTAATTACTACTAGAAGTGATCTAGTAGTATTGTTTCCTTTCTGAGGACCTTTATAACATCCAAACTGTCTTCATGACCCAGAGGGCCCACTATGGTTATGCTGATTCTAAGGTCAGAATGGCTCTGGTTTCTCAGTTATTCTTTCATTTGATCTTTAGAAATGTGTGTGGGATATTTATTAAAGACATTTATAAGAAGTACAGGCAAATTATTCAAACTTCTGGGACTACCTTATAAAAATTGTGCCTATTCTTTTTGTTCACATTTAAGAATAAATAAGATCAAATGGCCTCTAATACATTATAAAATTGGTAATAAAGTTAATGATTTAACAGACTCAAAAATAAGTAGAGATATTTGTATGAATCTGCAATTCACCCCTTATTACAAATGGCATCCAAAGTAGGTAAGAAGTCCTTGGCATAATGGTAGCAAAGTGACTGGGCCTGAAAGAGGGCACTATATGTATAATGCAGAAGAAAAAGTTGACATTCCCCTGTTTGTGGCCCTTTCTTCTGAGGCAGATTTCAGCCGTCACCCAGTACAAACCATCTTATTCCATCTACTATTTGCCTATTTGCCTTGGAAGGGAGGTGAGTTTCTTATATTCCCCGTCTTTAAACAATTCTTGTATAGACATTTGATCTAGATTATTTTGTGTGTACATGTACCTTTTTAATTTAAGTTAAAAGTGTTTGTTCATTTTTTCCCCAGATGAGATTGCAGGTAGCCATAAATTCAAAGTAAGCAATATTCAGTTGGCTATAAAGGGCTCAGTGTTATTGAGGCAAGGGGACTTTCTTTGAGAGGATATATATTGAGGTGCTACTTTTCTGTGGGGCTGGCTGAAACTACAGTAAAGCCCATTGATTTAATGCTGGAAAGACCCAACTAGTTCTTTTTTTAAAAAATCATACATGTTTGATAGAGGTGAGCCTCAATTGTTCCCACTGACTTCCAAGGCAAGAAACTATTTAAGGGGTTACTTCAGAAGTTTCTACAGGCTTCTCCTCATTCTAACAGTTCATATGTCTAAGTAAGAACTGATGGAGGCATGTGAGGTATTATATGAGACAATTCAGGTTGACTCCATAGTGAGTTGGAACCATCCAGTGAAGCCTAGTCAACAATAATCCTCCTGGATCTCAACACCCTGGACCTCACATAGCCAAGGTTTCCCCTAGAAGGAATAAATTCCCCTATAAGTAGATTCTCCTATACTTCTCTGGTAGGCAGAGTGAAATTAAACACATGCAGTGCCATCAGCTGGGGGAGACTGGCATACTAAGATGAGAAACTGGACAAATGGCAGTGTTTGGCTCAATCCAAGCAATGTTCAAGGGAAAAGTCATTTTTCTGTTGTTTCATTTTCATCGAGGTTCATAAATATGAATGAGAAAGTGATTACACTCAGTTTGGAAGAGGGTTAACAGAATCATAAAACACATGAAGAAAGGGAGCCCTGCAGTTTGGGAAATTGGATGCTTTATGGGGTATACAGTGCTCTGGTTGCTGTGCTGCCACTATTATCTACTGTTTGCGGATCATGCCCTTTATAGCCGATTCCCGGTTCACATATGTAGCCCAATAGACAAGATTGAATATGGCAAAGAGTACAGGGAAGATAATGCGGGAAATTTTGTCAACCCTGCTGACACTGTTGTAGGTCTTCGTCTCAGCAGGGCTGTCCTGCACATAAGTGGCCTTGGGTGAAGCAATTACTGTTGGGGTTGAAGAAGCACTGGGAGCAGCGGCACCCTTGGAGATGGTGGAGAACTCTGTGTCCTTGGCCAGGTTGATAGGATAGGTGGTTCCCACGATGTTGAAGGTGGTGCTTGTTTTCTTTGTTGGGGCTGCTGGTGTTTTCTTCTAGAGCCAGGAAAAAGAGAAATGGGGAAAACAAAACATGATAAATTCATAGCACAAAGTACCTTTCAAGACTACAGGAAGGAAGAACCATGATGGGGGCATTAAAGGACCTAAACTGAAAATGAAAATAAATGGCAGGTTGGTAAGAGGATCAGAAGAAAATCACTATGAAAGAAGGGGAAGATGAAAGACATGGAGAGGACAGGAGCTCCACAAGGAGAGCAACATAACCAAAATATGTGGGCCCAGGGGTCTTTTCTGAGACTGATACTCCAACCAGGAACCATGCACGGAGATAACCTAGAACTCCTGCACAAATGTAGCCCATGGCAGCTCAGTGTCCAAGTGGGTTCCCTAGTAAGGGAAGCAGGGACTGACATGAGCTCAGTGCTTGACTCTTTGATCACCTCTCCCTGATGGGGAATCAGCCTTACCAGGCTACAGAGGAAGACATGCAACCAGTCCTGATGAGACCTGATTATGCTAGGGTCAAATGGAAGGGGAGGAGGATCTCCCCTGCCAGTGGACTGGGGGAGGGGCACAGGTACAGAAGAGGGAGGGAGCACAGGATTAGGAAGGAGAAGAGGGAGGAGGCTACAGCTGAGATACAAAGTAAATAAAATATAATTAATAAAAATTAATTGATTAATTAAAATAAAAAATAACAGAAGAGATTTGCAGTGGGAATCGCTAGGAAATGTGGGATTTTATATATTGTGTAATTTCATTCTTCACAGTAACCCTATAAAGTAGGTGACATTATTCCCACTTGATATGTAAATCAGCCCCATATTAAATGACAGAACAAATACTATCAAACTGAGTTCCTAATGTTTGTCCAAAGATAAACTGTGCTGCTTTCTATAGCACAAGATACTATTGGTTACCGGAGGGAAAAAACTCCAAAAGGCTGCAACCATCAAGGGGCACACCTCCTGTGAAGAAGAGAGCTTGGTGAATCTGCAAAGTCATTCTGTCTTAAAGATCATAATAAATACTATGGATTGTTTAGATGCATCATCATAACAGCATGCTACCCTCATTCACAGGGGGTATACAAAGGTTTTCACTCCTGTCAGGAGCCACAGGCTCCCTGTAGATCTGAAGAAATGACCTCTTCTGATATATCAAAACCAAAGACAGCTGGAAACTTGTTATGGCATTGCCCTTTGGGGACTTTTTTTTTTCAGCATAAACTATTCTCAAAAGACAGGAAGAAGTATTTTGCCTCTCTTTCTCTCTCTTTCTCCACCCCCCACACTCACACACACACACAAATGTGCTTTCAAACTGAAGGAGAAAATTCTTACATCTGGATCAGAATAAAGATGCTTTGTGACATGGTTGGCTAGCTCCTAACTGCAGCCCAAGGCAATAGCCTAGTTCAGAACCTATAAATGCTTCCCATGTCTTCCCTCCAGCTCTTCTCTGAACACCGCAGTCTCTTTCTTGACATTTCTCAGAACCTAGAATTAACTTATTTTACTCTAGCAGTTCTTCACATATTTCCTTTCTAAATTTCTCTGTTCCTACCTTATTTTGTTAACCCTTTCCCCTCATCTCTTTTGCTTCCTTCAGAATTCTTATCACTTTTATCTTTCTGCTATTAGACCACAGTATTATTTACTTTTCTGATCCAAATAATCACCTTTTTACAACATTGACTATCAACAGCACCAAAAAGTGTGCTAGATATTTAGTAGGGTTAAGTAGAAAGGTTGGAAGTTATGTTTCAGTCCCTTTCTCCTAGGTGGTCACTGTCTAATGTTGAAGAGAGCCTTGTGAACACAAGATTGTCATAATGTATAACTTGAGTCTTAACTGTTTTCAGCAAAGTGCTATCAGTGTGACTGCAGCTGTGGGAAAGGCAGCTCAAGGAAGGCTGTGATGTTTCTCGTCTGGTATTAAAGGTTGAGCAGGAGTCACCAGATGATAATGCAGCAAAGGCTGTTCCCAGTCCCAGAACACTGTTGAGGGATGAATCACAGTTAGCACAGTAACCAATTGGTTCCCATAGTGAGGGGAACAAGGACTATTTCTTTTTTATTATTATTATTATTATTATTATTATTATTATTATTATTATTTTATTATTTTTTTCTTTTTAGTTACATTTTGTTAACTCTGTGTCCCAGCTGTATCCCGCTCCCTCATTCCCTCCCCAACCCCACACTCCTTCCCTGGTCTCCTCCCTGCCCCTTTCCAAGTCCACTGATAGGGGAGGACCTCCTCCCCTTTCATCTGACCCTGTTTTATCAGGTATCTTCAGGGCTGGCTGCAAAGTCCTCCTCTGTGGCCTAACAGACTGCTCCTCCCCGGGTGGGGGGGTGGTCAAACAGCCTGCCCTTGAGATCCTGTTAGAAATAGTCCGTGTTCCCCTTACTTTGGAAAACTACTTGGTTACTGAGCTACCACGGGCCACATCCGAGCAGAAGTTCTAGGTTATATCCATAGATGGTCCTTGGTTGAGTGTCAGTCTCAGAAAAGACCCTGTGCCCAGATATGTTTGGTACAAGGACTATTTCTAACAGGAACTCAGTGACTGGCTCTTTGACCTCCCCACCCCCCAAGGGAGGAGCAGTCCTGTTAGGCCACAGAGGAGGGCTTTGCAGCCAGTCCTGAAGATACCTGATAAAACAAGATGGGATGAATGGGGAGGAGGTCCCCCCTATCAGTGGACTTGGAAAGGGGCACTGTGGAGATGAGGGAGGGAGGGTGGGATTGGGAGGGAATGAGGGAGCGGGATATGGCTGGGATACAGAGTTAATAAAATGTAACTGATAAGAAAAAAATAAAATTAAAAAAAATAAAAAATCACAAAAAAAGAAAGGTTGCAGGAATTGTAGGTGCAGATAGAAAAGGGCAGTTCTTGAAAGGTTTGGTATACCACACTCTCCCTGTCTATGTTGGCATCAGTGTTCACAGTTGAGGCAAGGAGTGTTGGGAAATAGTGGAGGGAGAATGTGCATGGTAAGGGGGTGTTCATTTAAGTAAATAAACAATGACTAATAGGACATTTCAAAAACAATACTTTTCTTTCAGTTGGAGGATTATAGTTATGTTGTTACAAGCAGAGGGAGCACAGAACACAAAAACTTCTAAGAACCTTATAAATGGTTTAAATACTACATGAGACTCATTTGTAATTAGCAAAGTCATCGTGTGAATAGAGTCCCACTGCTAAATGCTTTGGGAATTAAATAAAATAGTGTTTTACTTGTTTGCTTGCTTATTAGCTTGCTTAGTAATTTATTTTTTCCATGGTTAGACAAAAACAAAAAAAAATAGAAAGGGAAGAAAACATTACTCTGACTTTGCTAAAAAGCTTTTTACATGTCATTTCATTTAGTCATATTATAGGCTGGTTATGACTAGGCCTTTGAAAAAAATCACTTAGGACAATAAACACTTTGTTTGCCTCCACAGCCACTTTGTTCTATGGAGAAGGAGAAGCAACAGTTGATTTAATCACAGATTATTTAAATGGTAAAGTAAAATTACCTTTTAGTTTCTCACCATTTCCAACATGACATATTTTAATTACTACCACATTTCTACCTGCATTATCAAGAAGGAAATGAAAGTAAACATTACAGAATAGAGCAGGATGCAGAGTTGTTTTTAAATAAGTGGAGAGTTTTAAGTTCTATGAGATAAAAAGTACAGGGGAGGAAAGAAGATAAGAAAGAGTAAGGTTGAGAGTATGTATTGTACACACATATGAAGTTGTCAAAAACAAAATTTAAATAATAAAAAATAAAAATTTTATCATATTTTAAAATTCACACATTTTTCCATATTTAATAGTTTTAATTATCTACTTGGAAAAATCTGGATTCATTTGGGAAGACAGATTTTCCAGAGCAGGTTACTCCATAAGCAACCTGTGGGAGATTGTCTTGATTGTCTAGGTTGGGTCCTAAATCATATCACAATACAGAAAATTAACTGAGCAGTAAGCATGCACACATTCGCTTCTCTCTGTTTTTGACTGTGAATGTTACTGGCAGCTTCAAGTTTTTGTTCCCTTACAATGTTGTCCCTACATTGCTTATCTGCAACCTATAATTGTGAACTAATTATGACATACATCTACATTTATTTAAATAATATAAATGAAGCATTTTTCATTAATTCTGCCTATCTACTTTTAACTACATATACTATATTGTTTATGATAGTTGCCTTACAAAATACATTTGTATATGACAAATTGTATAATGAATCAAAGACATTGTCCTCATAAAACTGAGGGAAAACACTTAGAGAGAAAGATTAATTACAACAAAAGACAATTATAAGGTTGCGAGAATAGTTCAGTGAGACCCAAGCTAAAACTGTTAATGCCCATATGAAAACTGGGTATGGCAGTACACAAACAAGACTTAAATTCTAGTGCTGGAAAGGCTGGCACAAGAATCCCTGGGACTTGCTGGCTAGGTGGTCTAGTTGAATTGGTGACTTCTAGATTCAGTGAGAGACTCTGTTTTAACAAGTGAGCTAAAGAATGATAGAGGAAGGCAGAACAACTTATAGGAATTAGTTAACCCTACAAAAAGGAGAAAAATATATGTAGATGGAAGGCCAGCTTCCTGAAAAAAATGAGTTATCTAAAGTATAAATAGGTAATTATCTAGTTTTAAATTATTACAGCTTAGAAGGAATGAATGGAAGAAATGTTGATACTATCAGTGTTTGAGGAAAATAAATAAACACAAGAAATTGAGTTAAACTTTATATGATATTTCTACACTCCCTAGAAATACTGTAAAAGAAATAGTTACAATACAATTTAAACTAGGAGACTAAAGACATGGTTAAGAAACTATGCTTGCAGAAGACCCAAGTTCAGTTCCAAGCAGTCACATCAAGCAGTTAGTTCACAACTGCTGTAACTCTAGCTCCATGGGATCCAACACACTCTGCAGTACAGACCAAAAGCAATGCATGCACATGTGTACACACAAACACATGCACAAACACATACATAATCAAAAATA